GAAAATTGGCAACAGATGTTAGCTCAGGGCCAATCTTCCTCACCAAAAAAAAAAAAGAGAGAGAGAGAGAGAGAAAGACAAAAAATTTGAGACAACTATTATACTAATGGCTTATTCTGACATTTGGTAAAGGGATAAAAAAGTTTTTAGTCCACAATTCAAATAAAAAACTATATTTCATGGTAATCAAATAGCCCACATTGATGAAGTAAACTATTTTGCGTGGAAAATGGCAAGCTTATAAAGTTGAAGAAACGATAAAATTTAAAAATCTCAAATTAGGATACACAATTTCAGTTTTGTAAAATGAAGAGAGTTCTGGAGATTAGTTGCACAACAATGTCAGTGTACTTAACACTAAAAATGGTTCAGAGGGTAAATTTTATGTTGTATGTTTTACCACAATTATTTTTTAAATCTCATTTTACTATCATTTTGCCACTCCCAATGAGATAAGTGATTCAGGTGAGGATTACCACTGGATACTAACATTAGCAGGTGAAAGACTGATAAGGAACTAGATATGCATGTGGGCCAAAGTCTTACTCCTCCAGACTCTATGCCAGTCTCAAGGGAATAGTCTTATTTCACTAAATACTCTTACCAAAAATGTTTATTCTGAATCTAATCAAGACTTTAGCTCCAAATTCTACTTTACATTAAATACAAGTAGAGAAGACTGAGCTCAATACCACCACATGGAAACAGATAAACCCAGAAGATTCTACTAGACAATCAGGCCTCTTCCTGCATCTCTCCAACAGGTCACTGTCGTGAAAAGGGAAGGCAGAGGACTATTTTCGATTACAAGAGACTTAACTGACATAACCACAGCCAAATGCACTCAGTGCTCCTTGACAGCCTCCTGACTTGATAAACAAGCCATAAAGGATGTCATGGGGATAACTGGAGAGATTTTAATATAGACTGGATATTAGATAATATTAGAGAATTATTGCCAATTGATGGTTATATACAATAATAGTGTCCTGGTTAAATGGGAAAATGTCTATATATTTTACAAATACATAATAAAGAAACTGGAGTGAAATGTCATGAGTTCCATAATTTAAATTACTTCAGAGAAAAAATATATGGTAAAAAGTTAATGCAACAAAAAAAGTACCTAGGCAATGATCATCAATGGCTGCTGAAACCAGCAGGCAGAAGCTCGCTCTGTTTGTACATGCTTCCATCATAGAAAGCTTTTAAATAGCAAGAGGAAGGCAAGAAATGAAGCCCCATCAGAGCATCTTCACCTAATCACAGCATGTCCCTCACCTACTATGTGACAGAACGAACGCCAACCGAAATAAAATAGTGTAAAATCTAGCAGGAGATTTAGCAACACTGACAAAAGAAAGAAAAAAGACAAAAGGCCTATGCCACAAGCCCCACAACAAATGGAAAAAAGGAAGATTCTGATAATAGCAGTGTGACCCCATACCCAACTTTTAGATCACAGGCAAACACTAGAAAAAAACTAGGTAGTGGCGGGGGCTGGCCCCGTGGCCGAGTGGTTAAGTTCGCGCTCCGCTGTTTCGTTGGTTCGAATCCTGGGTGCGGACATGGCACTGCTCATCAAACCACGCTGAGGCAGCGTCCCACATGCCACAACTAGAAGGACCCACAACGAAGAATATACAACTATGTACCGGGGGGCTTTGGGGAGAAAAAGGAAAAAATAAAATCTAAGGAAAAAAAAAAAAACTAGGTAGTGGGGATGTGGACGTTCGTTATACTATCTTCTCTATTTACCTGCACATTTGAAATTTTCCACGATAAAAAGTAGGGAAAAAAGGTTACAAACATCCTTCAAAAGGAACACTGCGGGACAGTTATGTGATCCCCACATACGCTGGCTGCTTTCTGACTCGCCATCTTCCACTTTTATCTTGTTATTTGCAACTGCTAAGGGAGGGGGTGGAGGTATTCACTAGCAATACTGGCTTACTGGGTGGGAAATTAAACCAGCAAAACTGAAGTGTTTCTATATTTTGCTAGAAAAATCAAGACCGATTTTACTGTAAAATGTCTCACTTTAACTGAAAACCCGGTTTGTGGTCTGTAGAAACTACTAAGGCATCTGCTTTCTCCCTTTCCTCTTTGGAAATGAAGCTGGACTAGAAACTCTTGTGTAATTTGTATTTGGATGTGGTGTTTGCAGAGAATTATTATCTTCCCAAATTTATAAGTGGTTCCATCTGTTTTTATGGGAATTTGGCTCAGAATGAATTCAGAAAATAAAGAACTAAGAAGAAATCCAGTCGCCTTCACCATTAGCTTTAGTATACTCTGTTTTAAGAAATAACAGAATCCATGAAATATTCACAGAAAAAAATATTCCAAAAACTGAACCTGAAGCTGATAAAAAGCCTTTGTATATAACTACCAATTTACGGGGCAGGAACAGGTTAACTACACCACAGGAATTAAATGAGCAAAATAAAAATTGTGTGAACGATGTAGGACAAACAATACAATTTCTTCAAAAATCATGACAAGGAAATAGAAAAGAGAGAAAGGAGACAGAACGTTATAGATTAGAGAACCACTAATCTCAACGTGCGGACCTAATTTGGATCCTGATTCAAACAAAAAACTCAAAGAAAACAAAGACAACTTGAACTCTGAACAGAGTGAATATTTGATGATATTAAGGACGTGCTGTTAATTTTTTTAGGTGTAATCATGGTATTGTAATTTTTTTCAGGAGTCTTAGCTTTGAGATACATACATTGAAATATATGTAGATCGAATGACAAGTGCCTGGGATGGTGCTTCAAAATAACACAGCTGGGGATGAAGTGAGCAGGGACATAGATAACACAAGGCATGAGTGGGAACTGTTAAGGCTGGGCGATGGCAATGCATGGGCTGGGTGGGCTATTATTCTATTCAATTTACTTTTGAATATATTTAAAACTTTCCAAATAAAGATTTTTCGTAAAAAAAAAAAAAAGGAAATAGTTAGCTTATAAAATTTTTTAATTAACTTAAAAAAATTTTTAATTAACGTCCAAGAAAGAATAGTGAGGTATTTTTGACTTCAGAAAGTAGAATATTAACAAATAAGTTCAGAATTAATATTTTCCATCTTTAAATAACTTTAATCACCTTAAAATTTCAGCAAGTCACAAAATGAGAATCATAAAATCTTAGACTTGGGGGACACCTATCTCCCACCCCGTGAACCTCCTTCCAACACACCAGCCTCTGGTCCAGGTCCTTGCAACTCTGGGCAAGTCACTCCCTCATAAGACAGCCCACTCCATTCTCTGCCTGCTCCAACTGTTCCAAGTTCCTCTCACAGCAGGAAGGAAACTTCCCTTATCCAAATCTCTTAGCTTTACCCACAAAAAAGGGCTTTTCAAACACAGATCACATTCCATTGATGAGTTGTGAAATCAAGTTACTGACTTGCTGACTGGCATTTTTATTATTATTATTATTATTATTATTAATAAAGCAGAAAAGAAAATCTCAGCATACTACACAGAATAAGACTAAGAAGTAATTTATGAAGGCTGTTTCTGTTATTCACATACACACACATATATCCACACACCTAGGCTTCCATATTGATAAAGGGGCAAGATATAAAATCTAATTCTAACTGTGGGTTTTGTTAAAAAGAAAAAAAAAGCCAGTGCTCAAAAGATAGCTCTCAACAAGTTGCCCACTCCAACGTCTTACCCCTCAGTTATTTCAACAGCTAGTTCATCACATGCTACAGTTTCTCCCGATCTCGACAGCCCAGGCACCTTTCCATGGACACGGTTTCAGCTCGCCTAAGTTCCCCTCATTTTTACTGAACAAATAGATACCTAGTGCATACTCCATATCCCTTAGAATGCAGTACCTAAAAAGAAACAAAATATTCCAAGTCAAAGCAGAATAATCAATTACAGCCCACATTCTGCACAAAATATTTCACAGGTTCCTTTAAAAACTTTGGTAGGGATTCCTCCAAGTCACATAAGGATCCAAAGCTCAAGAGAAAGACTTGGCCTGAGAGAGATTCGAGTTAACAAGTGACGATGGCAGGTGAAGCCTTGGGTGATACAAAATTAGTCAGAACTAAGCATCAAAGGCTGAGGACAGAACCCTGGGAAACAGGAAACACTGAAGGACTGGTCAGAGGGAAAGAAGCCTGCAGAGAGCAGAAGACGCAGAACAAAGCGCTCCAACATGTCCAGAGCAAATTTCAAAGATGGCAAGTTTGGTCAATGTCAAAAAAATACAGAGAAAAAAATGTAGTCAATAGATTTGATAACAGGGCCATCTATCACCTGGAAAAGGGCAATTTCAGTGGAGTGGTGAGAGCAGCAGTCAAAGTGCCTTGTGCTGAGGCATACAAAGGCACCCACTGCTTTTTAACACAACTTCACATTGAAAAGAAGCCCACGACTCCACTATTTTAGAACTCTTTCAAGGAGTTACAATTAATCAAACAATTTTATTTCCAACAAATTCCACCTTGTTTATTTCAACCCATTTTGTAGCTAACAAGACAATCTGTATACAGATTAGGCTTCCCTACAAACTTCCATGAAATCTCTAAATCTGATCAGCAGCCCCTGTCTGTCATCAGAAAATCATGGGCAAAAATACTCTAGAGAGGAGATGACCAGGGTTAAAATTTCAGTAACAGAGACTTTCCTCCACTTAACAGTTTTTTCCCAAAGTTGCTATAAAGATACCGTGAGAGCTTTATCAAATGTTTTGCCAAAATCCTGTGTTTATGCTTTCCTGTAAGGAAGAGCACTTTAAATGACTTTCTCCACGGAGACAAACAAAAACACACCACGGACAACATCTTATACAGATGAGAACTTATTTCAGGGCATCTGAACCACTTAAGAGAAAGACGTAAGAAGCAACGTCACTCGGCTGATGTCACTGGAGTAATTGGCGGACTGAACTTGGGGACAGAGCAATTTTCTTTCTAACCTCTGCTCCTTTCAGGGAAAAAAAAGGAGAGAAACAGTTTCAGGTACCTGGTTTGTTAAAATTTCAGCCACTCCAGGACAAACTCCTGAAGAGGTCTGTATTTTTCAGGACAGACCGATGACAACCCAAGTTCCAACGAGAGACCTAGCACTTCGAGATACTCAACAGAAGACAAAGCTTGAGATCCTTCAGCGGCACTCTGAACTACTGACTTCAGCAACTCCTTTGTGACCCGTCAACACTCCACATGGATGCCACATTCCATTTTAGAACACAGGCGGGGAGAAAGAAGACAGGCACTAGCGGTCACCACCTAGGTGCTACATGCTTCCACTTTCCCCCTTTCTCCTTCGCAACTAAAGCCAGTCTCAGGACATGAGTAGCATCTCATTAACTGCTTCCAAGTTTCTGAATGGAAACTAGCCCCGGTTATCAAATTACACCCTGATGCAATAGGGTAGACCTGGCTCTGGCTCAAAACTGTCACCTCTGGGGAGGAAAATGCAAGTAGGAACAGAGTGTGAAGAAGTAATTTAGGCATTCTTACGGATAATATAGGACAACAGCTACAACTGAAGGCCCTGCTCTGCCATTAATTAGCTGAGTGACCCTGAGTGAGTTACCTAACCTCACGGGACCGCAGTTTTCTCATCAGGCAAACCTAGGATCACACAGGCTGCCTGTGAGGATTAAATGAACATATGCAAATATGCGTACAGAACAGTAACACATATTAAGCATTCAAGAAATGTTACCTATTATTATCAATATGTTCGAATGCAATATTCAATGTCTTTACAGAGAAATTATATTAAACTATACTTTAATAAAGTACAAATTAATTCAATATGTAATGTCTTTACAAAGAAAATACACTAAACTATATTTTCATTAAAAGTAGAAAATAAACTATCTCAAATATAAAAATCCTGCCTGTGTGAACAGGAAAAGCATTCAACTATTAAGGGACTGACAGCTTTAGCTACAACGCCAATATTTTACATATGATTTCTAACTAGCATACGATCAATGTCTGAGGCAGGTGCTGTCCCCCCTACACCGCCAGACACACCAGACCCACGGCAGGGTGATGTGATTTTATAACAACTGCGCAGTCCCATTAAAATTCAGTCAGCTGAAAAAAAATGTTTCACTTGGTCTAGTTCCAACATATTGCTACTAAACTATGCTAAGCAAAAGAAGAATGAAAGAGAGAGAAGGTGGGGAGAGAGGAAGTGAGGGTGGGAGGGAGGAAAGAAAAAAGAAAAATCTAAAAACATTAAAATCTAGTGTAAACACAGGCAAGGGCAATGAAAAAATATTTATACATAACATCAACATTACCTTGAGAATATAGTGGAATTTGAAGATTGGTTCATATTTGGTTTAAAAATTGTTCGGTTTTTTTAGCACTGGCTAACACACGTCCCATGTCCACGATGCCACATTTAGATGAAACTGTTTTCACTGATTAGAACATTCAGACATTTATTCCAAAAGCAGGACAACTGAATATGTCATAAATGCACGAACTTCTGTAATTCTACAAAGGAAGTAACCATCATGAACTTGATTTTGGAGACCACGAAGCACATGCCAAAAAGAAGGGGGGGGGGGGGCGCGTATCTCATCCTTTTACAAATGAAATCACAAGATGTCTAGAATTTGCTTCTAATAATGGGGGGGGCAGTGGCATCAGGGAGTGGAAGGGAAATACAGATGAAATAAGACTGGCCATGTGCTGAGAACCTTCGAAGAGGGTAGAGGGAGTTCATTATACAACTATTCTCTCTACTTCTGAATATATTTCAGATTTTCCACAATAAAAAGTTTAAAAAAGAAAAACACTTTTCTATAACTGACAATGGTACATTCTTTTCTCCAAAAAACCACTTCAATAGATAATCAGATACAGTAAAAACATGGCTTCAAAAAATCTAACAACAAAAAAGAGGTCCTTAAAAAAGAGCCACATTATCCTTCATTGCTCTCATGTGTGCTCACAGAGTTACACACAGATCACAGACCTTTAGAATGCTCTAGAATCCACCCTCAAGTCTTCCCATTTCAGCTTGCAGCACTGAGGATGAAAGTGAACTGGCCTCAATTAGGAGAAAAGCTGGAGCCGCATCTGCACCACAGCTGCTGCCCACAGCCACGGCCGCAGAAGCTGAGAATATCTTCCACATACCTTTATTTTTCAGTCTGCGGGCGGAGGGAGACGGGGAAGGACGGATGTGTTCACATTCCCATATGTGCGGAATTTAAACCAGACAATCTCGGCATTAAGGAAATTAAGACGCAGGCTTTACTGATGTTGATTTTAATGGCCAAGATCCAAAAACAGTTCTGGTTACAGGCTCAAGGATAAACCCTCGATTCCTTTGTCGGTGGACAGACCCAACTCGTTACTTGACACTTTCACCTTCCCCATACAATTTTTATTCATTTTATTAAGAAAAAAAAAATTTCCTTTTTCTCCTTAAGAGAAGTAAAGAAAATTTTTCAAGGAACATGTTCATTTAGCAGCTTTTCTACCAGAGTCTAAAAGCAATTAAACAGAGCATGCTGGGGAAAAGTCAAAGACTATCATAATAAAAATGGGCTCCAAAAATGAAGGCTGAATACACACTGGCTGACGTGTGAAGGCAACTGGCACCACTGCCCAGTAATCCCATAGGACTTCTACTTCCTAGTTTTTTCAATAGTATTTCAAAATGTTGACACATTTACGGAACTATTTTTGGAAGACCCAGCTCTGTCTACCTTCGGGCTCAAGATACAAACACATGAAAGCCATAGGACAAGCCCTCTAGCTACAAAAGCTGGCAGGCTTCCTGAGTTCTCCAAGAAAACCAACTGGCAACTCCATTAGCAGCCAGAGCCCAGAGCAGCGGGAACACCTCTGGACACAAGGAGACGCTGGCTGTGCCTGAAGCTCCAGAACTAAATTGCGGAACGACAGTTATTAAGTTCAACCTCTTCCCGATTCACTTTTCTTATCTGTCAGACCTACGGTATGAAACTGTTTTAAGAATCAAATGAGGGGTCAGCCCGGTGGGGCAGAGCTTAAGTGCACATGTTCCCCTTTGGCTCAGGCTTTGCTGGTTGGGATCCCAGGTGCGGACATGGCACCACTCATCAAGCCATGCTGTGGCAGGCGTCCACATATAAAGTAGAGGAAGATGGGCACGGATGTTAGCTCAGGGCCAGTCTTCCTCAGCAAAAAGAGGAGGACTGACAGATGTTAGCTCAGGGCTGAGCTTCCTCAAAAAAAAAAAGAAAAAAAGAATCAAATGAGACTCTAAGGATTTATTTTGAAAAGAAAAAAACTTTACAAATTAAAATAGAATTTTAAAAAAGAAACAACAGAAAATCCTTATAAGTCTATGCCAGTCACCAGAGACAGTTTTATGCTGTTATCCATTAGGAGAGAGAAAGAAATGCATCAAAGTACCTTCATTAAGGAAATCCTATTTTGAACCTACCCAGCGTTTCTCAAACTTTAGTTATTCACATAACTACTTCAGAATTTTTGCCAAATCCACACAGCCACTGTTTTATTATTTATTTAATACTTATCTTTAAGTTAAGTCACTTAAAAAATGCCTACTTGAGCTTTATGCTAATTTATATCAACAAAATCAGTTTGGAAGATACACTGTATATTTTTCTGATGCACACTGATATATAATATATTAATGCTTTTAATTAAGCATTAAAAGATAAAGATTCATCTGTGTACCATCTCAAATCATTTGAACATACCACCACATGTCAGGGAAATACTGTCCTCATCTCCTGCGTGCAATGTCTCCTACATTAATAGAGTATTTCAATTTATAAATCCCGAAAAGCCACTGGGCGACTTAACCAACACTAACCACACACACGCACGACACTTCAGGCCTTACCGGAGCTTCCTCGGACCACACAGCCACGAACTCATTCACAACCTCCATTTTTGTTTCACTTTCCCCAAACCCCATACACGAAAATCCCTAACGTGTATCTCTTCACATTAATGTAATTCCTACTCCCTCTTTATTCCCTAGTAATGAAATTCTTCTCCCTAAAAGTATTTGACAGAACCCACATGTGTTCAAAGGTTTCTCTCATCACCAAACCAATATTCAAAGAATATGTAAATTTACATGCAAACCATGGGTCAGTCTAAAGGCAAACTAAGAAATCTAGTAAACTCTAAAACAAGGTTGCCATTTCTGATACATATTCACCAAATTTTCTTTATTGTGTATTTTTAAATCTAGTTCAAGTGTGTATTATAAGATCTGTATGCGTTTGTACTGAACTAATCCTTGAAATATCACAGGAGAAAAATACAATACACTTGCTGAACTAGTCCTGGGAAGCACCTTCAGGTTCAATGACACATCAGCTCTCCACTCCCACCCACCCTGGATGTTGACTCAGTCACCTGACTTTTCTCTATATATAACTGAAGTCAACTCAGCATCTGGCATGAAAAGAAAAGGGACAATTTTATTATGGCTGCAGCCCTTACCAAACTGTGAGTACCACAGTAATCTTCGGAATGTTATTTTTATCAATTTAAAACCCTAAAATCAGTGGGTTGAACATGAGTTAATTTCTGGTCCCTCTCAAAACCACACTAAAATGACAGTAAGGAAATTAAAAAAAAAAAAAGGCACAAATCCACAAAAACAAAAAAATGGGAGGGGACAGGCCAGCAGATGAGATAGGTCAACAAAATTCTAGAAGATGGAAAACAGATGTACAAAGTCACTGACTTAGCAGAGCAGAGGAAGCCGGAACGTAAATTCCTGTTTTGGTGGAGGCCGCCGAGAAACAATCTGATCGCTGGAGAAGCCCCGAGCGTTATGAACTGGAGGTTCCAGACCCCACGGAGGGCCGAGGGGAGAGAGCGGAAACGGGAGACCAGCTGGAAGGAAACTTCTCCTTCACACACACTCACACTCACCCACTCTCTCTCTCTCCCCATCCCCCTGCAAACCTTTGCAGCCAGAAGACAGGAGGTTTACTCTCTAGCGAAGATGAAAGAAGAAAGGCTCTGGGGTCAGGGGACCCACAGAGGGCAGATGTGAGGCGCTACTGGGAAAACAAGGAGGTCCGATTACTCAGTCACTAAATATGTAGAGTGCCCACCCTGTGCCAGGCACTGTTCTGGGTGCTAGAAATACTTGGGTAAACAAAACA